TTTTGCTACTTTGAACTAGCTCTTTGCTACTTTAGACTTTTAGCTACTTCTGATACTTTCAGCTACCTTCTGCTACATTTAGCTGGCTGTTTACTGCTTTAACCTTTTAGCTAATATGTGCTTCTTTTAGCTACCTTTCTGCTAGTTTTACTGTATCTATCCATTTGCTATTTTAAGCTTTTAGCTACGTTTGGATACTTTTTGCTGGCATTTTCCTACTTTTTTGTAACATTTTGCTGCTTTTAGTTAGCATTTTGCTTTTTAGGTTCAGCTAGTGTTCTGCAGCTTTAGCAACTCAGTTTTATCTTCTTTAGCTAATTTCAGCTCTTATTCAGCTCTCAGCGTTCACTCTTCAGTTATGATTTATACTTTTTTCTTAAAGGGGGTTTACTAAACTTTCTTCTTTTGTATCTTGTTCTTTGAATAACTAATCAGTTTTTATTTAATCAACAAGAAATACTCGTGGTAAATAAAAATAAAGTTGTTTTTTTTAGCCAAACGTCTGTCCCAGGGAGGTTGAACAACTGATATATTTCCCATCTGATGGTTAATTTACATATTTTATTTTTCTAAGCACTCTGAATGTCAGACGGAGAAGTTCAGCTACCTGATTATGAGCCGAGCAGAGCGGGCGGAGGCGGAACCAGACGGTTTGGACTGGGCTCGGCTGATCGCACCGGTGGTGTGCAGAACTCGACACGTCCACTGCCACATGTGCTGCTCCGACGGACAGCTGCAGCACCGGGTGGTGACGGCCCGGAAACACAGCAGGTAGAACCGTCCTGCAGGGCACTCATCTTTTATTATTGTGATGCTGGTTATTCATTTATTTATTATTATTATTATTACATCGATTTTTGCAGAACTAGTTCTGCGTTCTTTATCCTACTAAAGCCGTCATAATTTCTAACTGTAAATGTTCTCTGGCCACTTGACTACTTTTCGTTTTTTCTCACCTTTTTTTTTTTAAGTATGCTAAAAATTAAATAAATAAAATTAGATTTTTAACACTTTACTGTGTCTTTATTTCAATTTAACTTTCTTCCAAGTGGAGATTTTCACCTCTGTGTTTTATTCTGTGACTGAATCAACTCTGCAGTAGTTTAAATTATTTTGACCAACACTGGAAATGTAAAGAAAAAAATGTTAATTTTTCCAAGTTTATATCTAAAATAAGCACTAAGAGCTACAAACAGGGAATTCCTAATATTAAACGTGACTGAACGCTATATTCAGCTTTCCTCCCTGCTCAAATATTTAATACTTTTTTACAACTTTCTTATTGTTTAATAGCTACAAGTATATAACAAATATTAAAATAATGTGTGATAAATGTAAGTAAAATAAAAACAAAAGTGTAAGTAAAGTAAAATGAGGCTTTCATCTTGTGAAAGTCTCTAAATGAAACTTTGTTATCTTTTGTTTTTGGTCATAAAGGTCAAATAAAGATGTAGGAATAAAGCAACACCAGATTTTACAGATAGTTTCACATCTTTGGCAAGTTTTACCAAATAAATAAATAAAATTAATTAAATGCTCTACTTGACATAAACTACAGTGTCTGGACTCAAACTTTAAAAATTGTTTTACTTTAAGAAAAATCTAAATTTATTTTCAGCACCAGGTTTGGAACATTTGTGATACTTTATAATCCATCACTGTCGGTGAACAAAACTAAAATAAACTTCTTTTTTTTTTTAACGCAACATTCTTTTTTTGTGTTTCGTCAGAGACGTGTATCGCTGCGCTCGGAACAGCAACTGGGGGGACAAGCTGCCGATCGTTGAGACAGTTGACGTCCGGAGTGACGTCCCAAGTGACGTCCCGAGTGACGTCCCGAGTGACGTCCCGAGTGACGTCCCGAGTGACGTCCCGAGTAACGTCCCAAAAGACAATTCTCTTTAAGACAAACAGGTTTTGGACTTTTGAATCAACGCAGATAAAGATAAGATGGCCGACTGCTCAGAAACTTCATCTTTTCCTGCCTGGAGCTGTTAAAACACACCTGATGAGTTTGTTTGACTCATTTTAAGGTTCACCACCTTCAATAAACATTTGATTGCTTTTATAACCACCTTATTGTTCTCCTCTTGCATGCTTTGTGCTTTTAGACATTCACATATTTAAACATTTGGCTCATTCACGAGACGCGTGCTACAGCCTTTGATTCTCATAACTAACAAACAAAATATTTACCTTTTAATTAAAATTATTTAACCCTAGAAAAACAGCAAGATCTCCATTATTCTGTCAAAACAATGTTCTGTTTAATTTGCTTAAGCAAACTTTACTGTTTGCTAGCTTTTTGCCACTATTAGCTTTTAGTTAGCTTTTGTTAATTTAGCTTTTGGGTAGCCTTTATTACTCTTACCTTTTTAGCTAGCCTTTTGATATATTTAGGCTTTTGCTAGATTTAGCTAGCCTCTTGCTAATTTCAGCTATTCTTTTGCTGCTTTTGCTTTAGCTAGCCTTTTGATACTTTTAGCTTTTAAACATTTTGCTGTATTTAGCTAGTTTTTTGTTACTTCCAACTTTTGCCTTGCGTTTTGCTACTTCTAACAAATTTTACTACTCACAGCTTTTAGTTGTTTGCTTTCTATTTGATACTTTTAAGTTTTAAGCTAGTCTTTTGCTATTTTTAGTTAAAAATTTTTGCTACTTTTAGGTTGCATTTTACTACTTTAGTGTTTAAAGTTTGATTTATTTATTTTTCATTAGCATTTTACTGCTAAAAGTAGTAGCTAGCCTTTGCTACAATTAGTTTTTTTAATTGACTTCTCTGTGTTGGCAACAAAAACTGAATTTTAGCTTCTTCAGCTCTCAGCTTTCATGCTGCATCTTTACAGAAAACAATTTTTTTCTTGTTTGTGTGAATTTGCATTTTGCTTAACGTTTGAACCTTTGATCCATCAACTATTTGTTGTTTTATTGTTAAAACACATTACAGAAAGGAGTTGTGGAGTTTTATTCAACTGCTTTTAACGCAAACTATAAACCCGTGGGATTTTGACTCGTATCTTAACAGATTAGTGCTTTTAAAACCTGAATTAACTGGTTTCATGTGGGATGAATGGGGGAAAACACTCAAATCTGAATGATGTGCAAATGACGATGATTTTACAAACATTTGAGGCAGTTTTTATATTTTTATAACTCTTTAATATATTTAAAAAAATTAACTTTCCACAATCTGTTTGAGTGCTGAGGTCAAGTCTGGGTACTTGTACTGATACCCAGACTCCAAAGTCCGCTTCGGGATGACTTTCTGGCCTTGAGTGAGGATCACAGCCCTCTCAGAGCCCAGCAGGGTGTTCAGAACAAAGCTGGGGACGGGGAGGATCGTGGGCCGCCTCAGGATCTGACCCAGCTCCTTGGTGAACTCGTAGTTGGTGTTGAACGCAGGTGCCACTCCGTTGTACACCTGTGGAGAGGGGCAGGGCGCGTCGGCAGGGGGCTCCAGAGAGAGGGCGATGATCCCTGCCAGGTCCGAGACGTGGATCCACGGGAACGACTGACGTCCAGAGCCCAGCGTCCCCCCAAGACCGAGCCAGAAGGGCAGCAGCATCTGCTTCATGGCCCCACCGTCACGACCCAACACTGCCCCTAGTGGAAGAAGCAGGAACAACAGGCTGCGTTAGACCACTTCAGAAACATGAAGGTAAAATTGTACAAAAAAGAAAACAGCAGAAACAAAACATTTAGTATCACTTTTAATAAATGTTTTTATACAATGAGATTAAATGTACAGCACCTTATGATTTTAATAGTTCATTACTTTTACGGTTTCAGTTGATTTTATGTGTTAAGTGTACAGCACTTTGGCCAACGGTTTTGTTTTTTAACTGCTTTATAAATAAAACTGTATTGTATTGCAAACTCTTTGTGCCACTAAGTCTTTTTAAATTAACTTTTTTCAATAAAACAAGGGGAACTTCCCAAAACAATGTTTTAATTTCATATTCATTATTTTTTGTGAAGAGCGTTTTCAGAAGCGTATTTTGAAAATTTTAATCAGGAGCTTAACAGAAAGATTAAATCATCTTTAATACCACACACGGGTTTAACATGCTTAGTGAAGAGAATATCGTATGTCATATTTTTGAGCGTTTGAAGCAACTACCAACTCGAAATCTCTGAAAATCAACAACTTCGGGATTTTGTTTTGTCACTTTTAGGTTTAAAAAAAAATGAGAAAAATGCATCAAACGCCCAATTTAGGATTAAAAAAACCAACTAACTCCACGTTTTTAAATCTACAAATATTCTTAATCTCACTAAATCAGTGTTTAATCGTCCTGTGTCGCTCTGCACGTACCAGGTCGAACGACGACTTGTTTGGTGGTTTTAGCCACGCTCTCAGGAAGACGCGCCGCAGCCTCCCACTCTTTGACGAGCCGGGAGAGGAGGTCAAACGGCGTCCACTCGCTGTCCTCCGTGTACTCTGCTGTCAGGCTGGGTTTGTAGCAGGCTGTGGATCAAACAAACAAACAAACAAACAAACAGACCGTCTGCCTCACGTTTGCTTCAGATGGGAATAAAAAGTGAGCGCAGGCTTGCCTAAACCTGAAACCAGCACCCAGGAGTGAGGAGGACTGGAGGACTCTGCAATGACTCGAGACAGAGCTTTGGTTGTGTCGACGCGGCTGGAGAACAAATCCTTTTTGTAGCTTTCATTCCACCTTCAACGAGCAACAGAAAACAATTCATTACAATTTATTAAAGGTACTCGCTGCACTGTCATGAAGACTTGACAAGACAATAAAAGGGAAACAAAATATGCATTTATTTATTTTTCATTTTGCTGGTTGACAAGTTTTTTTTTAATTAAAAACCTGAGCAAAATTTGTGGCCGGCTGCGAACTTGCTTTTATTTACACACAGAAATGGAAAAGTGACTGAAATTAGGGCAACGATGTCGACGCCCATAGAAGATCTCGGGAGAAGTTCGACTGTTTCTGTGTAATGGTGCGTATTTATGATGGATTTATTGAGTAAAGCATCAAGATGCAAATGAAGGTTAGGTTGAAATGATCAAATTATCAGGCCGGTAGACATTTTGATAAAGTGTCACGTGTTTGATGCCGACTCTCCTCCACCCTGCTTGATCCTCAATATTTATTCTTTACTTTTGTCTTACTCGTTCTTTCTCTTTTCTTTCACGTTTAGCAGCAGATTCAATCTTATAATTCCAGCTAAACTCAAAGTGCATCATCTGCTGTAGCTCAGGATAACCTCTATACGTTTGACTTTATAATTTAAATGAGAACCTTTAACTTGTAGAGCAACACGTAGGCCTGTCACGATAAATTTTGCTGGGCGATTAATTGTCTCAGAAATTATTGCGATAAATGATAACACTGTTTGAAATTTGACAATAATTAGTATTTATTGTAAAATTTAAAATGAAATGGTTAATTTTTGTGTGTAGTATATTTTTTGACCACTGGATGGCAGTATAAGACTGTTTGAACCAAAGGATGGATAGTGAGGGAGCGAGCAGTGTGTCTCTTCAAGAAAAATGGTAGGGAGGCCCGTTGACGTGACATGGGCTGTCGCTCCTTCCTGTTTTTCAGTTCTTAAAATGGCGGACGCTCCATGTGGTTTGAGCTCGTTAACATAGCATTTGTCACACAAAGCTTTTAGTAAAACATCAGTAAACAAGTTCTCAGCTTCTTTTTGCAGAGAAAAACTACTTTTTACACAAAGGCACAAGTTTCAACCATGAATTTTGGAGCTTTGACAAGACTGAGGTGAAACTAAATGAACATTATTAATTTAAATATTAGGCTCATGTCTTTTATAAAACCCATACATGAACTGTCTGTCCATGAGGTGTCATAAACATCCCAACAAACAGTAAAATAAACTTTACAACAAAAATTAAATGTATGCCACATTGTCTGTTCACTTACTCCTCTCTCAGATCCTATGTGATGTAAGTTATGAAGAATACAACAAGTCTGTTATTAATGAGCTCATGAATGCAGCCTCAAAAAATGTTAAATCCACTTTAAATCACTGATACGAACCGTGTATTCAGTCGTTACTCACCATCGAAGAGGGTTCATGAGATTCTCTCCAGCCAAATTTACAACACTGTCACACTGTGGGAGGCCGCCGGACTCTAATTCACCCTGCAGATGCAAAAGTATTGAATGTATAAAAAAAAAAAGGTAAGAAAAGCAACATAAGAGTCAGTTTCACCATGCTGCCACACAGTTTAGTGACAGATTCAGCTGCTGTGATGAAGCTCTGACCATACCCACGTTATTCTTCCTGGACCAGGTTGGCGAGATATCACTGTGACCTCATGACCTTTGGCTTTGAGGAGATGAGTCAGCTCCCGGCCAATAAAACCAGAGCCCCCTCCTAAATGGAAAATTAAATGTACATGCTGAGAAACTCAAGAAAAGAGGATGCAAATCACACCCAGGAGTCGCTTATAGTTGACGCAATTTCACTTAATATTGCTAAAATGTAAATGGGCTGTAGTTATATAGCGCCTTTCTATCTTATCGAGATACTCAAAGCACTTTACACTATAATCTGCGCCTTCATTTACCCATTCATACAGCACTACTAGATCTCTACAAAGAATAATCAGAGCTTTATCACATTCATACACTGATGGGACACAGAGGCAATGAGGGGTTCAGGGGCCCAGGGATACTTTGGCACGTGACTGCTGGTGGAATCGAACCCCCAGCTCTTGCATTGGAGGACGACTGCTCTATCCACTCAACCACAGCTGCCCCAAAAAGAGATAAAGACTATCTAAAAAAAACCCTCAACTGTCATAACTCAAAAACGGCGATCCTTGAATTTATTTTTTAATTATTGATTTTTTTTAACTATACCAAGAGACTTATGAATTTTTTTTGTTGTGTTTACATTTATCACAGATAGGGGTTGTGTGCACATCTGTAAACACAAAAATCACATTCAAGTCCCACAAGTGCGCATGCGTGGAATGCATGCTTACAAAACAAGACTCCCGCATATTAAAGGTGAATGTCGCTTGAATTTCAGTAAAAATTACACGCTAGCCAATGTTCCTTATTAAATCCCAAAATGTAAAGGACGAGCATCAAACACACTTATCGGTTTAATAAGTTATTGTATGCAGTTTAATAAGTTATTGTATGCAGTTTAATAAGTTATTGTATGCAGATCAGCTTGCGGGTGCAATTTAGCGGCTAGCTAGCTGTTAGCATTGTCACACCGACCTTGCTGAGCAATTTTAATCAACAACGATGCAAATAATAAAAATAAAAAAAAACATACCTATTAAAACCCTCATGGCCACAAACTGTCGCCGAACGCTCACTGAAACCCCAACACTCACTTTAGTCAAGGGGTAGGGTCATCTGAATACTTTTTGGCTCAAAGGGCGTTCCGTACTCCCGACAGTTACGTCATTTTCTAGTTAAAAAGGTAGGCCAAATAGTTACAAACCTGTACCCATTTAAACATTTATATTTGGATGTAAAAAAAATAAAAAGGGTGGTACTGTTTTTAACACGTAAAAAGTGCAAAATTTTCCTGACATTTTGTTTTGGTTGCACATTAATTTAAACTCGTTCCGTTTAGGATGCCAAATCCTGGACAATTTCATTTTAAATTTCCCTATTTGAAATGAGTTTGATATTTTAGTACAGCAACTTGTATATATAATTTTATTTATTTATTTACACAAGAACTTTATTGATCCTGCAAGAAAATTGTCAAGTTTCAGTACTAAAGAACATGCACAAGGAACCACAAGATATAGTTATACAGGTCCTTCTCAAAAAATTAGCATATTGTGATAAAGGTAATTATTTTCCATAATGTAATGATAAAAATGAAACTTTCATATATTTCAGATTCATTGCACACCAACTGAAATATTTCAGGTCTTTAATTGTTTTAATACTGATGATTATGGCATACAGCTCATGAAAACCCAAAATGCCTGTCCCAAAAAATTAGCATATTTCATCCCACCAATGAAAGACAAGTGTTTTTAATACAAAAAACACCAACGTTCAAATAATCATGTTCAGTTATGCACTCAATACTTGGTCGGGAATCCTTTTGCATGAATGGCGTGGCATGGAGGCAATCAGCCTGTGGCACTGCTGAGGTGTTATGGAGGCCCAGGATGCTTCGATAGCGGCCTTAAGCTCATCCAGAGTGTTGGGTCTTGTGTCTCTCAACTTTCTCTTCACAATATCCCACAGGTTCTCTATGGGGTTCAGGTCAGGAGAGTTGGCAGGCCAATTGAGCACCATGGTCAGTAAACCATTTATCAGTGGTTTTGGCACTGTGAGCAGGTGCCAGGTCGTGCTGAAAAATGAAATCTTCATCTCCATGAAGCTTTTCAGCAGATGGAAGCATGAAGTGCTCCAAAATCTCCTGATAGCTAGCTGCATTGACCCTGCCCTTGATAAAACACAGTGGACCAACACCAGCAGCTGACATGGCACCCCAGACCATCACTGACTGTGGGTGCTTCACACTGGACTTCTGGCATTTCCTTCTCCCCAGTCTTCCTCCAGACTCTGGCACCTTGATTTCTGAATGACATGCAAAATTTGCTTTCATCCGAAAAAGTTCTTTGGACCACTGAGCAACAGTCCAGTGCTGCTTCTCTGTAGCCCAGGTCAGGCGCTTCTACCGCAGTTTCAAAAAGTGGCTTGACCTGGGGAATGCGGCACCTGTAGCCCATTTCCTGCACACGCCTGTGCACGGTGGCTCTGGATGTTTCTACTCCAGACTCAAGTCCACTGCTTCCGCAGGTCCCCCAAGGTCTGGAATCGGCCCTTCTCCACAATCCTCCTCAGGGTCCGGTCACCTCTTCTCGTTGTGCAGCGTTTTCTGCCACACTTTTCCCTTCCCACAGACTTCCCACTGAGGTGCCTTGATACAGCACTCTGGGAACAGCCTATTCGTTCAGCAATTTCTTTCTGCGTCTTACCCTCTTGCTTGAGGGTGTCAATGATGGCCTTCTGGACAGCAGTCAGGTCGGCAGTCTTACCCATGATTGTGGTTTTGAGTAATGAACAAGGCTGGGAGTTTTTAAAAGCCTCAGGAATCTTTTGCAGGTGTTTAGAGTTACGTCGTTGATTCAGATGGTTAGGTTAATAGCTTGTTTAGAGAAACTTTTCATGATATGCTAATTTTTTGAGACAGGCATTTTGGGTTTTCATGAGCTGTATGCCATAATCATCAGTATTAAAACAATTAAAGACCTTAAATATTTCAGTTGGTGTGCAATGAATCTGAAATATATGAAAGTTTCATGTTTATCCTTACATTATGGAAAATGACCTTTATCACAATATGCTAATTTTTTAAGGATCTGTATTTCATACACGTTTAATCACATTTTATAACAAGTTTATAAATACATTTTAGAAATGAAACATCTGAACTACAGAAAGCTTTAATTAAGAAATTTAATTGTTCACTAAAATGGCATTTCATATTACAAATATTTTAAGTTTACCATTACATTTACAGTTTTAAAGTGTTAAGACTTATCTGCTCAAAATGCATTTATACCAATATAGTTGCATACAAGTAAATAAATCCTGGTTGAAATCAGTATAACATGAATCAAAGTATCACAAAAACAGTGAGGACGTTTTGCTTAAAAGGAACAAACTGAGGATCCAGTGGTCACAAGTTTTATAGTTTAAACAATTTTAATACATCTGGTTTGTTCATGACTGAAGAGGCGACTTGATCGAAGTCCCACCACCTGTAAATGTAAAAAAAAACCACATGTCAGGGAATCAACTCATCTTAATTATTTGATAACCATTTCCATAAACATTACATTTTCAGTCCACATTGTGACCATGGTACATTGAAAAAGAACTGAATTAAGGACTTGATATATAATATAACTTTATGATCTGTCAAGTTAAACCTAAATGACTAGATTAACACACTGTGGGCAAATTGGTCAAATACAGTATATAATGAGGTTTTGAACAGATAAAAAAAAATACTGACATATATTTCACTTTGAACAAATAAAGCTCTTACCTTATCCGAAAAGGCTTCCACACAGATACTAAAAAAAAAAAAAAAACTCGTTAAACTTGTTTATTTAAATGTAACAACCTGAACAGTCTAAAAAGTCAAACCCATCAGCGCTGTGAAAAATAATCATCAGTTTCATGTGAAACACGGACACATGCAACTCATCATTAAGGTTCGACTTGTTCCCCCTCGGCTGGAAAGTTACACCACTTTAAATTTGACAAATCAGAATCCTAAAATAAAGTCACTTAAGCATCTCAATCTGTACATAAACTTATAAGTTAGTAAAATAATTATTTTGGTTGGTTTAACTGAACCAAATGCATAAAATCTGACTCGTAGCATTTGCCACGAGGTTGGTACTCAGTGGAATAAAAACAATTTTTAAGAACTATCCACGTGACCTCACACCAGCTTTAAAACATATCAATTTATATAAGAACAATGAGAATATTAATTTACCGTTTTAAGGCTTTAAAATCGATAACTACAGCAGCACAACAACCGAACAGAGCACGCACTAAAAGGAACTAAACCGCTGCTGCACGAGAATTTATAGTTTTACCAACCACGTGATTCTGCTCTGCAACGTCACAAAAACGCGACTTTCGGGCTTACAGCGTCCCTTGAACATTTGTTTTTTTCATGTCAATACTCACAAAGTTTCTGGACTGACATTACAAACTGGATTAATCTAAAACTGAACATTCCTCCCTTTGATGCTGATGCCATTTTATTTTACATGGATAATTTAAGGTCAGCTTACTCTGATGCTATAAATATAGTCATCCTTATAGCAAAGTACCACATTCATTGTAGTAAGTGGAGGGACAATCAGCCCTCCTTCCCGTGTTTTATGAACGAATTCAAGTTGTACTATTCTTCAATAAGTAGATAAAAAAAAACTGGAAAACTGCTAGAACCATTTCACAACAGATATAAAAAAACTTGTTGTTTTAAGTTTCTCGTATTGTTTTGCTCCTTTTTGTTTCTTATGTTTATTCTTTTCATTTAATGTTATTTATATATATTTACTCAATTTTTATCATTTTGTAACCCCCCTAGCTTGTAAACTGTAGTTCTGACACCCTTCACGAGTGTTTGTATATATCTTTCTCTTTTGTAGTGTTTTGTAGTTCTGTGTGTTATTAATAAAAAAATAAAATAACACAAAAGTGTTTATTTTCTGTTTTTTTAATTTTTTTTTTATTGAGTAGTGCATACAGCACGTTATACGCCCCTCGACACACTATACAATAATCCAGTACAGCTATTCTATTCTATTATTCTATTCTACTGATTTGAATTTAACTCAGTTGATTCTCATCTTGAGCAAGCACAAAGGCGACAGTGGAAAGGAAAAACTCCATGAGGAAGAAACCTTTAGCAGACCCAGGCTCAGGGCAAACGGCCATCTACCGATTGAGTTTGAGTGGAACTGGAAGAAGGAACAGATACACAATGGCAGGTTGAGAATCACATGAAATAAATCAAATGAGAACTATTCAATTTTAACCTGATGCATGCTCATTAATCCAGGTAGAAAAATCTAAAAAAGTTAAATCTGGACCTCTGGACATTCAAAAAGCAAAACAACAAAAAATGTAGAAACGTTTCGTCTTTCATCCGAAAGACTTCCTCAGTCTGAGGTGCTGTATTCAGCTTTCTTTGTCATAAGCACGCACTACATGTGGTACATGTGGTGGAACGAAATTGTTACAGAGTCCCAGCTACATCCAACAAAAGTATAAAATGTAAAAGAAAAACAGTAAGAAGATCTAAGACATGAACTAAGAAAAACGTTAAACTAAAAATACGCTAAGCACTAGTAGTACAAAAACAATATGCCGAACAAGAGCAGCACGAACATGAGTCTGTGTGAGCAGATTAGGACAAATGAACACAGCAGCATGAAATAAATCTGCAGCATGAGATCAGCAGCATGTATAATCAGCAGCACATATCAGCAAACACGTGGCATTACAGTGATTTTTTTCACAGTGATTATTCTGGTTAGGGATTCATGAATCTAACAGCTTCAGGGTAGAAGCTCTTTCTCAGTCTAGTGGTTCTACACTTAATGCTCTTCAATCTCCTTCCTGAGGGGAGTGGGACAAAAAGTGTGTGTGCTGGGTGAGTGGGGTCTTTCATGATGCAGGTGGCCCTCTTCCTGCATCTGGAGGTGTAAATATCTGTGATGGTGGGGAGGCTGACTCCAACACCTTCTGTGCAGCCTTCACCACTCTCTGTAAAGCTTTTCTTTCTGCAGCTGTGCAGCCTCCATGCCACACATTGATGCTGGAGCACAGGATGCTCTCCACTGCACACCTGTAGAAGGAGGTGAGGACTGAGCTTCCCAGTCCATCTCGCCTCAGCCGCCTGAGGAAGTAGAGTCTCTGATTTCTTGATCAGGCTGGTGGTGTTGTTGCCCCAGCTGAGGTTGTCATTCATGTGTACACCCAAGTACTTGTAGCTGGAGACCACTTCCACGGCAGATCCTCTTATGTTCAGGGGGTGTAGGTGTGTTTGCTCCTTCTGAAGTCCACAATCATCTCCTTTGTCTTCTTCACATTGATGTAAAGGTTATTCTCTTTGCACCAGCTCTCCAGGTGTTCCACCTCTTGCCTGTAGCTGGACTCATCATTGTTTGTGATGCATCCCACCACCGCTGTATCATCTGCAAACTTTACAATGTGACAGCCTGGATGGGTAGCTGCACAATCATACGTGAGCAGAGTAAACAGGAGGGGGCTCAACACACATCCCTGAGGAGAGCCAGTGCTGAGGGTTATGGTGGAGGAGGAGAAGTTGTGGATCCTCACTAACTGTGGTCTGTTTGTTAAGAAGTCTAGTACCCAGTTGCAAATGGAGGGGCTTAGTCCTAGTGTGAATAGTTTGTCCATCAGGGTTTGGGGGATCATGGTGTTGAAGGCGGATGTGAAGTCCACAAAGAGCATACGGACGTAAGAGTTTTTCTGCTCCAGGTGGTTGAGCGCAGTGTGGACCACAGAGGAGATTGCATCCTCTGTTGATCGGTTCTCACGGTATGCATACTGATGAGGGTCCTCGTTGATGTTGATGGTTGTTTTGATGTGAGTCATGACCAGTTTTTCGAAGCATTTAGCGACTATCGGGGTGAGGGCCACTGGCCGATAGTCATTCAGACCAGTCACTGTAGAGCTTTTTGGGACTGGGATGATGGTGGCAGTCTTCAGGCAGGTGGGAACTGTCTCCAGGGTAAGTGAGGTGTTAAAGATGTCTGCCAGCACCTCACAGAGCTGATCAGCACATTCCTTCAACACTTTTCCGGGGATGTTGTCTGGACCGGTTGCCTTGTGAGGATTAATCCTCCTGAAAGTACTCCTTACTTCGGCTGAGGTCACGCTGAGATGCTCTTCGTCCGGTGGTGAGTTGAGTCTGGTGCTGGGTGGTCTGTTCAGGTCTTCAAAGCGTGCTTGTTGAGGGCATCAGGCAGAGATGGATCTTTGGGGCATTGTTTGCTCCTTCCTTTATAATCTCTTATGCACTTAATGCCCCTCCACATGTTCTGATGTTCTTATGAGATGAATTGATCCTTGATCCTCTGTGCATATGTGGCCTTGGCCTTCTTAATACCAGCAACCAGCTCTTTCGTTGTCCTACTCAGCTCCTCTGAGTTTCCAGCCCAGAAGGCAGTGTTCCTGGCTTCCAACAGGGTGCGTACCTCTGCATTCAGCCAAGGTTTTCTGTTTGGGTAGCTTTTAATATATCTGATGGTGGAGATCGTGTCAGTATGTACTAATATAGTCATTAGGTTTAACTTGACAGATCACAGTGTTGTGTATATCAAAATCCTTGTTTTTCTTTTTCAATGTACCATGGGTACAATGTGGACTGATTCATATGTAATGATTACATAAATGATTATTGAACTCTGTTAAATTAAGGTGAGTTTCACTGTCAAGTTTTTTATTATTTTTTTATTTACAGGTGGAACTTCAATCAAGTCGCCTCTTCAGTCATGAACAAACCAGACATATTAAATTATTGAAGTGTTTAAATCAGACCTGGGCATGGTACAGCCCTTTGGTTGACTCTGACCAGCCCGTGTAGTTAATTGGGAGTCACAAAACAAACATATTTTCTAATTTTACTTCATGCATGGACTAAAGCTGCATTGCTTTTTAAGTTTTTATTTTATCCACGTACAAGTTGACGCACGACATAAATCAAGACATGCTCACGATTGAATCTTTGTCACCAGCAAGTCACAAGGCAACTTCAGCCTTCAAAAATGTCCACTCGTGCTAAAAAATGAAGTTGACTCCGAATGCAGGGTTTTCAAAAAAACATGGACTGCTAAATATTTAGCTACAGAATTCAGAGGTAATGCTGTGTGTTTAGTTTGTGGAGAGCATATTGCCGTGTTTATGGATTGCAATTTGAGTCGGCATTACGAGACAAAACATGTAGAGCAATACAAAAACTTGACTGATGCTGGAAAGGTGCGGGCATCGGAAGTTTTGCTAGCTAAGCTACAAATGTGGCAAGGTGTTTTTGCCAAGCTTCACACATCCAGGGATGCAGCAACCGAGACTAGCTTTGTGAAATCTCACAAAATTGCACTGATGAATGAACTGACCACCGAACTGCAAGGCAAGGGCCTTTTTGTTCATGAACTGCACAGCCTGGTGAAGGCTTTCATGACAAAGATACAGTTTGTGTCAAGCCAACTGGAGAGCAACACTCTCACTCACATGCAAACCCTGAAAGAAGTCGCACCATCAGCTAATCACCTCCACAGGTACTCGTCCATGTTAGGCGCGCTGCATGGTGAGTTTTGGAGGCGATTTGAAGATTTCAGAACAATAGAGGATGAAATGCAGACGATTTCCTCTCCCTCTTCGATGTGTATAATGCACCCAGTGATGTTCAGCTGGAACTCATTGACCTGCAGTGTGATTTTTTACTGGCAGAGTACTTTAAGTCAAAGTCACTACTGGATTTCTACTCTTCTCTCAAAAAGGAGAACTTTCCAAACATAAGGAGACATGCTCTGAAGATGTTTGTTTCTTTTTGGCTCTACCTACACATGTGAACAAACGTTCTTAGTGATGAAGTTGACCAAATCCAGATACGGATCCTCTCTCACTGATGATCACATCTGTCAGCTTTGCTTCGCATCTGCACCTCACACATTCAACCTGACTTTAATGCTCTTGTTAAAGCCCAACAAAGCCTAGATTTTTCAAACTAAACAAGGAAGAAGAAAAAATGGAAAACCCAAAATGAGTTGGTCAGACCTGTTCCCAACCGTGGTCAGACCTATGGTTCCCAACCATGGTCCTTGAGGAACACCGTCCTGCATGTTTTACTTGTTTCTGCTTTGATGCATCAGATTTGAATGAATGGGTGATTAACAGGCTTCTGCAGAACTTCAGGAAGTAATTAAATCACTGAATCAGGCGTGATGGAGCAGGAAACGACTGAAACATGCAGGATGGTGTTCCTCAGGGACCAGGTTTTGGAACCACTGGGCTTGACTACAAATGTATATAAAGGCACCAACTAGAAGTGGTCTTTTTTTTTTTTTTTGTCAAAGTCTTATTTCACAGTTCATTGGCTCGTTATAATATGATGCATGGAACGAGATTATGTACACAGTATAATATTTGGAATACAAAGACAATATTGTAATGCATAAAAGACTAAGAAAGTCATTCCAACTAAATGAAATTCAAACTGTTTTTGGGTGAATGCGACTGAAAATTATCACTTATGTGATGTCACAAGTGGTAAAAATGTTCATTTTGTTTACTGTTGTACAGTATTGGGAAATTTAATTGAAATTACGTTTTTTGTGTGGTAACTTAACTTTTTCATTGCCTAATCATAACATTAACTCTTAGCTTGTCAAAACAATGCTATTTACAACTTTTAATAAAGAAATACAACTAATATGCAAAATTAAATAAAATCTTTTGGCCTGGCCCATCATAGTATTTTCTGTTGCTCGTGTTCCCATGGAAAAAAAATAATTGCCCTTCCCTGGTACTATAAAACTTGTGGCCTCTGGATACTGTTAAATTTAAGCAAAATAGCTTCACTGTAGGTGCTTATTAGTTTTGTTGTACTGATTTCTACCAGGGTTTATTTACTTGCATGCAAATGTACTACCGTAGTATAAACATGAGCAGATGAGTCGAAGGATTTGAAAGTGTAACTGTAAACTTGAAATATCTGTAATATGAAATGCCATTTTAGTGAACAGTTTAATTGATAAAGTAAAGCTTTTGTTAAGAGGTTTCATTTATAAAGTGTGTCCTCCTGTTTTTAAAAGATGTGATCCAACATGTGTGTATATATATATATATGTATATGTTGCATATGCATATATAATAATATGTATATATATGCATATATATATATATATAAAACAATAAATAAAACAAACCTATTTGACAATTACTGGAAAAACTAATATTGACCTGACAAAATATTTAGATGGTTTGGAATAAACCTTTTTAACATGTAAAAAAAAAAAAAAAACTAAATATATTTAGATGTTTCAGAAATTAAGCAGAAGTTTTGTATGGTAAAACGTCAGTTATTCATGTGAAGAAATTTATTCTAGTATTTGTTTTTCAGCAGTATCTTTAAAAGTGACAAATGATTAAAACAAGGTCAAAGTGAAACCATGTGACAAACAGCGATACAAAACAAGGTGCATTTACTTCAAATTCAAGGTTTTCAGGTTTTTGTCTGACTTGGATTATTGGTAATGAATTGTCACAATCTGGACATCCTTTAGGAGTACAGAGCATGTTCAAATCTGAGGGTTTTATGTAACATTGACCAAAACAGCCATAAAACAGTGTTTTACTATAGGATTCAGGATAAACCTTGAATTAAACTGGTTTAAAACATGGAAAACTTCAAGCATCCTAAATGTAAACATTGATTTAGTTGGAAATGACAGTAACGCTTTGAAACATTCAAATGGAAACCAGTTTCCAATTGTCTGGTTGTGATTTAATCACAATTCAGAGGGATAAGTCGCTGCTTTGCATATTTATTGGAAAGATTTCATTCAGTCATTCTTTGGAAAAATCAGTGAATTACATAGTCCATGAAATTAGTTTTGAATTATAATCTTCCCCTGAGTTAAACTAATTTGATATAATTTTATTTTATTTTTTTAATGTCCCAACAGGTTTTAGATTTCAGAGTTCGTTCAAGTCTGTTCTTGTCTCTTTATGTCAATGCGTTGTTCCCGTTTGGTGCAGAAGACACTGCGGTGTTTGAGGAGTCATTGTTCGGTGCTGCGCTGTCTTTTTTGACCATTTGACATTTTTTGGTTTTTGGTTGCTCCTGCGACGTGCCCTCGAAGAGTTTAGCCATGAAGGCGAAGCCGTTCTTCTTGATGTAGGATTTTCCGGCGAAGGTGTAGAGGATGGGGTTGGCACAGCTGCTTATGAAGGCTAAAGCTGAGGTCACCGCTCGGGACAACTGGTGGATGTGGGTCAATCTGCAGAAATATATGGATACATAAATGTGTGCACTTGTAGAAAAGGTCAGGCCTCCGCATCAACTAAAAATGGACTTTAAGTAAACAGGTTCAGTCACTTGTACAAGATTAAAGGTACTCATTGCAAAGTCACGAAGACCAAAAAAATATTGAAATTATCAAAATAGTTTTCTCATATTTATGGTTATTGTCTCAAGAGCAAAATTTATGAACAGCTTCCAACTACTACTTGTTTACTACAAAGTACTTGTTTACCTGCTTAAAGGACTGAAAATGAGTCAAACACTGAATTTACCAACCGTATTTGTTTACCTACTATGACCAACTTAATGTGGGTTAGTCATGTGACTCCAACTTTCACTTGGTTTTAATTCAACACAGTGCTTTGTTTACGTTGACTGTGAACCCGCATTTTAGAATTGTATAAGTCACAGTTTTTTTGTATAATTTGCATGCCCTACGGCTTATAAGCCCAAGTTAAGTATTTATGGATTTTTCCCCATATTTATAAATCAAATTTTGGTTGCGACATGACCGTTTTCATTCATTCTGACCGAAAAAAATTGAACACTACCATTTTTAGCCGCTAGATGGCACTCGAGTGTAAGGCATGTCGTTGTATCTGGTAAGCCGATTGTGTCATTAAAAGCCACTTTTACCTATTACATGATACAATGACATGCCTTATACTCGAGTGCCATCTAGCGGCTAAAAATGGTAGTGTTCAATTTTTTTTGGTCAGAAAGAATGAAAACGGTCATGTCGCAACCAAAAATTCATTTATAAATATAGGGAAAAATCCATAAATACTTCGCTTTGGCTTATAAGTCTCAGGGCATGCAAATTATGTATAAAAAAACTGCGACTTATACGACAAAAAATACAGTATCTCTTAAAAAGAGGAACAGAATCTAAATGAATCTTTTGAATGATGATGAATAGAAATAAAATGACTTTTTTTTTTTACTTTTAACCAAATAAACTGACTTTTAGAAGTACTGCCCCCCCCATCTTTTTTGGTTCAATATTACATTGTATGAAGTCACAAGATTAACTGGCTTCTTGAAATTGTTTTAAATTTAAACCGAGGTTTTATTTATCTTTACTGTCTTAAGCAGATATTTAAAAACCACTCAAGTTGGTTGTCCTTAATAATTCATCATTTAACACAAATAATGGGTCAAAATGTGTTTAAAAATACTCACGTATCTCTCGTCTCTGACTCCTCTGGATACCACTCAGCTGCCACCTTGAACAAGCCACAGGATGTTTTCAGTTGATATAACAGGCACTAACGGTCGATCCCAAAGACGTGATTGGTTACGAGGAACGTGAGCCTTCACTCACCTGGATCATGTTGATGATGTGGTACGGCAGCCAAAACAAGCCAAACGTCACCACAATGGCAAGAATGAGTTTCTCGCTGCGAGCCTTTCGGTAGAAGAGGGTCTTCCTCAGGCGTTTCAGGATGAGGACGTAGCTGGTAATGATGATGGCGTATGGAATAATAAATCCTGACACAGTCTCCAAGGTGTACTGGAACCTGACCTGAAAAAGGGACAATGAGGCCTTTACTGTCTGACTTGTTGACGTGTCAGTGTCATGTGCCATGTCATCTTCATGTTGGGAACCTAAACCATAAAATTATTTGGATTATTTTGATTAAATTCAGATGATCAGACGTGTACTCACATGTCGAGGATCGGTGTGATTTGGCGAGCACACGTTTTTAGTTTTATTATTGAGGTCGCGGTTGATTCTCACGTCTCGAAACACCAGCGAGGGCACAGAAATCACCATGACCAACACCCACATGCCCACGATCACCCTCGTCACGATCTTTCTGTTGATGCGGTACAGGTCCCGTGGAAACACCACGGCCACCATCCTGTGTACGCTCATCAGCGTGATCAGAAAGATGGAGGCGTACATGTTGACGTTGCACAGGTAGAAGAGGCTTTTGCACATGAAGTTTCCAAAGATCCATGTTCGCTTGGCCAGGTAGATGATGAAGAAGATGGTGAGGGCCATGATGGAGCCATCGGCACATGCCAGGTTGAGAATCAGGATGGTGGTGACCGAGCGATGCCGGATGCGAGCCAGGATGCTCCAGACGATGAAGAAGTTACCGGGGACTCCCAGGAGGACAACTAGGCTGAGGATGAGGGCGCCAAGACACGTGGCGAAGTTGCTGCTCACAACACTTTCATCCTCATAGTCTGTTTCGTTGATGAAATGAGGGACTTTTTTCATTGTTGAAGCAGTTCCAGTCCTGGTGACATGAAACAGTTAGAAATGAGGCACTTTACAACGCACAACAAATACTTTACAACCTGTTCAAGATAAGTGATGTGGATTTTTGTGTCAGTTTGCATCCTATTGGAATGGATAAAACTCAAACAGACCAAAAGAATCTGAATTTATTAAATATATATGCTTTTCGGACACATTCAGGTTTTTTTTCTCCTAAATATAAAAACATCGCTCAACCATAATGACTCTGTGTCAAGCTTAACTGAGTTGAACAGAACTAATATCCTTATTTGAAAGCTGACATTGAATAACTTAAATGTATTTCGATACAGGAGTAAATGTTCAAATTGCGCTCGCCAATCATGATTATTAGAACATTTTGTTTAATCATAACTTCACATATTTAAAAAACTTTAGTTCGGATTGGACAGTGACTGAAGAGACATTAAATTTTGTTCTCAATCAATTCAAATGGTCCTCTGTATGTCGAGAGCCCCTGGGCATGAGCTCAGGGTGCAATTTTGGTAGATCTATACTTCTGCCACCATTTGTGGGGAGTATGGAACCAATAATGCAGACCAAAAAGGGGAGCTTGAAAAAAAAAAACTAAAGACTTTGACAACAAAAACAAACAAGTTGTCAAGGCAGCAACAATTTTCAAGAAGGACGCCTGGACATGGGGAACACACTCAATGTCAGACTGAAGGTGGAGTGAAAACTGAGTGACCAAGGACGGAGTGATGACACCTGGGATCAGGTGAGAGTGACAGAGGAAGAAGTGGACGAGGACACAGAGGAAACTGAAACACATGGAAATCAACAAGAAACCATAAAAAAATAATAATTTGTTTTTCAAAAACTGTTAAAGATCCAACAATTAAAAAACTAAACTTGACGACGCTTTCCTCCCAAAAGAGGTCTTTGCAGAACTAATTCAACCACATTGCTACCACAACTAACTGGCGTTAGGCAGAACAACAATGTCTACAACTGTAAAATATGAGTCATGCTCAGCACATTTCACATTTTCATATATATATTTTTTCCCACATAACTCTTGTCTCTTTTCATCATTAAAATGATTTTAGTTTTAAAAAGAGGCGTGAAAGGCAGTGGGCAGTATGTATTCCTTCAAATAATGTTAGACCTTTAATTTCTTTGTTTGTTTTGAACATTTTACCTCATAATTAAACTGTGAAATAACTTTTGGGATATATCCATCTAAAATCTTTGCTCTGCTAATTTTAAACTCGTGAAATAAGTTGCAAGAAGACGTATAGATACACAATATGATCAAACGTTCACCTTTCGTTCACACGTGGTTTTTACAGTTTTAAATGTGGCGTGCCGACCTGACGTGGGCTCTAAAATATTCACGTCAGATTGTGAAGAAAGCTCAGGGTCTGCAGGCCAAAACACGCTGAGCTGCGTAAAAGAACAGACGAGTTTCAACATTTTATTTTCACTTTATGTCGTCTTTTTTCCCCTCGCTGTCGTTTCACAAAAACTGGTGGAAGAGAGGCCAGAGAGGTTGACCTTTGAACTAATTTTGCAATTTATAATTAAAAAAATCACAATATGATGAGAAGAAATGATCAAATCCTTACTGAGTAAATACTAAAACTCAACAAAATAAAGTAGTCAAATATAAAACAAGTCAGTACTCTCAGGTGAATCCCAATTTTCAAGGAATCCAATTTGACTGGAAAATGTCATGTTATTTCAACGCACTGATGTGAAAAGTTAATTTATATCAACTTCAGTACATTTAAAGCCACAAACTGACTTATAGTAGAGAAAATTATATTGTAAAGTAAATAAAAATGGTCATTTGACCCAGAAACACTGCACATTCCTTATTCCCGCAAGAACTTGTTTGCAGGTAAATCAGTAGTGAGGGGATTACTCTACTGTAGCCTAAAAGTATTAACACACTTTGTCTTACATTTGTAATAAACCTGCTGCATGCGTACAGCTGAGTCGAGGAAAATACCTATAGTTTGATGGGAAACACAAAAAGAGACTGAAATGAAATAGTAGTCAGAGTAACTGACCTCTTAGATGTGAAGCCTCTCGGTGAAAACGTCCGACAGCTGTCCGGGTCTGTGTCTCTATTAACTCGTACTGAGGAGGATCATGGCTTTTCTCGCAGGCTCTAACACGCTGTGGTTTCACAGCAGAAAGTAGAAGGAGTGAGGTGTGTGCTCCTCTAAACCCTCACTCCCTCCCCGTGTTTTTGTCTGAAGTGCTCTACAAGTTCATCTCCATATACAGTATGGTCATTGTGGGGATTTATCTTAAGCGGTTGTGTAAAGAAACAATAATTTCAGAGATGATTTTATTACAAAACATGCACAATTTACGAGAACGTCTTGTTTGTGTGTCCCGAGGCGTCTCTTTAAACTTTCACCCCAGTGCCGTGTTGTGAAATGCGTGATTCAGGAGTTTGCACAAGCTCTCTGTGTTACTGATGCTGAGCGCACAAGCAGAAACACGAACACAGAGCGTGATTACGCTGGCGTATAAAAATCACTGTCACTAGTTCAAACAAGTCTCTTTATTACAGGAATGCTGGTTCCATTAAAGGGTGGAGATAAAGAAGAACAAATACTCCATAAGTCAGTGGTTAGTAAACCTTACAGAACAAATGCCACTTTAAAGTACGACCATTGTGACTTGTAGTCAAAACCAGACTTGTACCGAAGTGTTTTAAATTTTGTTTCGGACCGAGTATCTGACGTACACAAGCACACTGACCAATCTGCTTGAATATCAAACCTGAAAACCACCAAACTCACTTCTTTATCCTAACCCTAACTCGACAAAACACAGTGGTTCCTAACCCTGGTCCCTGAGGAACACCATCCTGCATGTTTTAGCGGTTTCCCTTCTTTGATTCACCTGATTTGAATGAACTGTTCATTAAGGCTTCGGAAGAACTTGAGGAAGTACGTAATTAAATCACTGAATCAGTTGAAGCAGGGAAAGGGATAAAACATGCAGGGCGGTGTTCCTCAGGGATCAGGGTCAGGAACTAGTAGACACACTGAGTCCTGATCAGACTCAGCCGGGCCAAACTTAGGCGAGGATGTCAACTGGTCCAGGCTAAAATGCCAGATAACTGTCAAAAACCATGGCAAGTTTAACAATTTGACATTTGAAATCCCAGGCTAAGCAAAGGAAATGAAATCTTGTGTGAAATAAAAATTACTTGAGGTGTTCATATTTGGTCCCTTCGTTTGCTGCTACGTGGAAAAACCTCAATCAGGTGTAAGAAACTTGTCCTTGCCTAAAAGTCCATTCTCGTAAACTAGTTTTGTTCATGAAACCTGTGTAACTTGACGTACCCATGAACACACATAGAGAAGTTTCTTCCCTTTTCTGTGCAAAACACTCCGAGCTACAGTGTAACGACTGGTTCCTGTACGGCTAGTGTTGTCGATATTTCTTATGGCTGCAGAGGTCAAAAACTGAAGTTATTGAGTTCTTCAGGTTTCATTTGTTAAATACACCCAAAGCTTCTGTCAAACTGTTCAGCTCAGTTGTATTGTGGATGTTGTGGGTGTGATGTTTTCTCAAATACTTGTACTTCAGTTCCTCCTTGTCTGTTAATCAAACATCCACCTGCTACCAAAATGATGAAAGGCAGACGAAAATATTGTAATTTTAATGAAATCTGCAGAAAATAAACATTGGACATACTGTACATCTATTATTATTCATGCTCAACCTGGTTCAAGATGGCTGCCACAGCCAAGTGATGGTAAAAAAAATGGCTGTAATTCAGTTAACTTTACTGATTCGTTACCTAAAATCTGATAACGATTTTGTTCTGTTACAAAAACTCTGCTGACTTTTGTGCTAACAGAGAAACTTTAAGGTTTTTACCACATGAGGGCAACATGTCCTCAAGAATCATCTCAGGAAATAACCTCAACCCACCAGGTGAAAGTGTAAAATAAATAGTGAAGTAGTATGGTTTTGAAATTATGTTGTTGTTGGGCTTTTTTTGGGGGGGGGGGGGGGGGGGGGGGGGGCACACGCATGTGGGACCCAGAAATTTTGAATAAAGCAGATACCATTTCCTGAATTCTGGTGTACTTTGTTAAACATCTACGTTTACCTCCATTATTAAACACTTGACTCAATAACTGTTTTAGAGTTAAAGGCACAACAAGTGGTTTATTATTATTCTCCCATTAATCAAGATGAATGGATTCGTTCACAAAGAAATAGAAAGAGCGCTGGGTGAACTGGTATGGTTCTATGAGGCCTCCTCTGTCTGAAGAGCCATCAGACAGAGGAGACATGGAGGTCTGGAATAGTAGAAGATCAGAAAAGTTTATGTACAGATAATAGTAAAGTTTGTTTTTGTCTTTTGGCTGCTCCCTTCTTCAGGGGTCTCCACAGCGAATTAACTCACACGAAGACTTGGTGATTGTTTTTACGCCGGATGCCCTTCCTGATGCAACCACAGACCACCGAGCTGCTATCTAGGGGGAGCAGATGGTGGGGGTTAAGGGTCTTGCTCAGGGGCCCAGAGTGAGGCTAATGAAGGTGGAGGCAGGTGTGGGTGTTTCACCTTTCCCACCCACATTTTTATGGTGTCAGTCTGGGGAGTTGAGCCGGCGACCTTCTGATCACAGGCCCAGCTTTTCTAACCTCTTCGCCACCACTCCCACAGATAATAGTAAAGTGAAATACTTAAACACAAGAAATAAGACACAATTTAGTAATATGCTTAACTTAATCGTTTTATTTGCTCTTCCACATATTTCATTTTGTCACTCAAAAAACTGCCTCTAATCATTTAACTTGTTTCCTCCGCTGATGAAATGCCCCCAAAAATTCTACATTTAGCAAAAAAATTATTTATTTGGAGCTCCAAGCTCACAGAACAGAAGAAATGCACATTAAGCAGATGATGATCTCTCCCTCATCGTTTTCAGTTCAGTTCTTGCCTCATTCACTTTGCATCACTGAGGAACGTTCAAACGTCCAAACTGAGTAGACAAACACGTCCCAGCTCTAATTTTTTTAAACTGGGCACAGCTGACAACACTAGTAACATTTCCTACCACAAACCAAACGTTTATTATGGCTAGTATCAGTCCAGTTCAAACAAAATAAATAGTTTCACACATTTTTTTAAATTTAACCTTTATTTAACCAGGCAAATCCTACTGAGATCACAGGTCTCTTTTGCAAGGGAGGCCTGGGCCTGAAGGCAGACTAATATGCTAATATATACTTAAATATGCATGTTACGTATAAATATGGATCTTATACGTATAAGACATGTCCCCATCGGTGGTGACAAGCTCACGCTGCGCTCTTCTTCTGTATAATGTTAACAGTTACAGTAATAGCTTTTGTTGCATGCAACTCTTCGTGCTTTCTACCCGGATACTGTAACAGTCTACACGCAACATTTTTTTCTCATTCATAAAACGCTAAAATCAGGGACATTTTGGGGACAGCTTTAGCCGGGGACAGATCGTCCAAAACAGGGACCGTCGCAGAAATTGGGGAAATCTAGTCACCCTACTTTTACTATTATTTAGCTTTTAGCTAGCATTTTACTATTTTTAGCTTTTAGCTAGCCTTTTACTGCTTTTAGCTAGCCTTTTTTTACTTTTAGATTTTAGCTACCCTTTTACAGCTTTCCTTTTACTACGTTTAGTTTTTAGCTATAGCTTTTCTGCTTATAATTTTTACCTTTTGGCTAGCATTTAGTTAGCTTTCAGCTTGCCTTTTGATACTTTTAATTTGTAGCTCTTTTTTTATATACTTTTAGCCTAGGCTAGAATTTGCTTTTAGTTAGCATTTAGCTAGTTATGAGTTAGCCTTTAGCTACATTTAACTTCTCGCAAGCCTTTTAATATTTTCAGCTTGGCATTTTCATTTTTTTAGCTAAGGTTTCTCTACTTTAAGATTTTAGCTAGCATTTGCTTTTAGTTAATATCTATTTAACTTTTAGCTAGTTTTTCCAAACATTTTGCTTTCAGCTATCCTGTAAATCTTTTTAGCTCGCCTCTTGCTACTTTTAACTTTTGGATATCCTTTAGCTATTTTAGCTTTTAGTGAACCTTTTTCCATTATTTTTTCTTTTAGCTGAACTGATGCATTCAAATATTGTTTTAATACACTTAGCCTTTGGTTAGCTTTTAGTTAACTTTTGCTAAATTCTTGCTACTTTTAGCTTTTAACTAACCTTTTGCCCCTTGTAGCATTCAGCTAATGTTCTGCTTCTTTTAACTTAACTCAGTTTCAGCCTTTTCATCATTCATTCAGCTTCCAGTTTTACTTTTGTTTTGTTTACTTTGTACTTACCGTAAACTTCCCCAAACATCAATGAAATATCTTTATTTTCTCTGAAAACAATTTACCTAACAACTTGTCAGATTTAAGTTTCAACTAATCTCGCCTGATCCTGAATTCATCCAGTTCAGCCATTAGGGTCATGACATTTAAAGTGTTTGGGGGGATTATCAGATCCAGCTCAGGGCCTTGGAGGGTCCCATGCAGATTTTTTTTCTCGCATCATCTTGAGATCAGGATCCAAGGCCTTCCCACCCCACGAGGATGACCGAGAGTGAAACAAGCCCCGAGTTACACTCCAGTATAACTAACAACACTCTTAATGATTGTGAGAACCGGAGGAGGGGACAGGGTGAGGAGGGGGAGAGAGCTGAGGCCGAGAGGGACAGAGAGAGTGTTTATTTAAGTTTTTCGTCTCCTGACTCAGACAGAGAGCAGACTGCTGAGGATAATGAGAAGCAGATCTGTGGTCGAGAGGAAGAGGAGGGAGGACGGAGAAGTGGTTTGGGGGAAGGGGAGTAAAAACAGAAGAAAAAGGGGGAGGACAGGGGAGAGTGACGGCCAAAAAAGGGGGAGTTTGTGGCGTTCATCGCCACAGGAAATGGGTCCTCTGATGTTCAGTAAGTGACAGCAGCCCTGGTGGCCTGCAGCCGGCTGCTCGCCATGTTTTCTGCTAATGGTCAGAATGGGAGCCGTGTTTTGGACCGGACTTTTATTGAAGGAAACGAGTTTAAGGACTTTCACGCCAGAGATTTAGACTAAGACCATCGTGTTGATCGTCATGAGATACATCAAGATGTTGCTCTCAGTGTATGCGTTGTGGATGACTCTCCGCTACTACCACGCCAAATTTTAGCTCAGAATCCGTTAAACTGACTGTTTTGTTCTGTTTGCAAAAGTTAAGCTGCGACTCTTGAATTGGGTTATCGCCTAAAGGATGTAAAAGCCAGAGATTATCTCCTTTATGTGTCTATAAAGTCCATCCGTGGTGCGTGAGATATTTTGCTAACAGACAGAAAGGACACATTAACAGTTGAACTGGATGTGGCTAAAGAAACCTCCATGAGGAGAGGGAGGAGGGACGCAGGGGAGGTTGGTGGGGGTGGGGGGGTCATGACTGACGGATCCAAACTCCTATTACGGACCAAGAAACCCACCAAAAGGCAATTAAGGGTAAAGGACGACAAAATATTTGAAAAACTTTTTTCCCTCCTCCTCCTCCTCTTCCTCCTCCTCCTCTCTGTCTGAACCAGACAGAAGGAGAAGGAGTCATGGGATACCGATGGAACTGGGATTAAAGGCGCATCTTTGGAGTTTTGGAAGGTTTAAGATTGAGTTTGGATCTTAAAAAAAGCATCAAGTCTGGAAAAGTTTTGCAGAACCAAAAACCTTCAAGATGGGGACCATCTTTGCGCAATGACGCGTGGATGAGCGAAAGCTAAAAAAAAAAGAGGGGAAAAGTTTGAGGAGTACTTCTGTCAAAGTTTGTGGGATTTTACTAGAGATTAAGATCTGTGGATCTTCATCCTCGATGGGGGCCGCGCCGGGCTCGGGCTGGGAGGATGGCGAGTTCGAGTTCAAACTGGTGTTTGAGGAGGATCCGCCTGAGCCGCGGATTCAGGGGCCGTCCCCGGTGCGCGCGGCCGAGCTGGAGAGCTCCGGAGCCGGGGAGGAGAGTGAGGGCGCCCTGCTGCATCTGGACTCCTCCAGCAGCAGCAATCACGGTTAGAGTCAAGTTTTTTTTTTTTATGAAATATAAACAAAAGAGTTGCATTTACAAGTAATGATGGCCTTCATGCGCGTGAGCCCAAGTGGTGGGTTTGCGTGCCATTTCCCCCTTGTTTTCTGTATGGTATGCATCTGCGTGCATATCTCGCTGTATCCCTGTTTGCGTGAGTGCGTGTGTGCGCCGCAGCCACAGACTCAATGTGTTTCTAATCAGCTGTGCGTGTGAGCAAAGTTAACAGCTGCCATCTGGGAAGGAACCTGAACGCACCACACACATACACACCTTATTCTTTCACTGCCTCCAATTTCCTATTTTTAACATCCAAACATCTCATATAAAGTCGAGCATTTAGTTCTACTCAAGACATTTATGTGAATTCAAGGAGAAACTTTAGGCAAATTTTATGTTTCCAAGCATCAAAGGAGAAGTTTTTTCAGTGTAACAGTTCTCAGATTTAGGTTTCCTGCTTTATTTATTCATATAACGCAAAATATCCTGGTTCAGCTTGCACTGGAGATGTAACATTTCCTTCCTGATACAAAATAACCTATTTTTAAGCAACATTAATGTCATAGCAGAGTCCTCTAATTCCTCATAACTCACGGTCAGCTTTAAAAATACACATCAGGACCAAAATAGGAACTTTTATAAGACATTAGTGTTCCAGTTCTCTTCACCAAGAAGTCCCTTTAACTCACTTTATCTTAAGAGATTTATTGTGGCTTTATTTATTTTAAGCTGTAAAGCATCATGCACGATAGATACAAGCTACGAAAGGGTTCAGTCTTAGCATATCATAAAAAATAATGAAACCTCACATCTGCTGGTTGTACAATGACATAATCCATTCTGAGCAGGGGAAGTGTTTTATGGGTCTGGATTGCTTTGGATTAAAGATATTCAATGCATTAAAATAAGAAAATATGGCGTCAGATGCATTTATGGTGGAGACCCAGATTGTATGGAAGAAGATTAGGGCCACAGTGGAAATGGATACATTTTTTTATTCTCACGTTATTTATTCAGAATTTCTAAATTAAAAACCGAAAGTTCTGATAAAAAGCCAGTTTTCTGAATTTTATTCTCAGATTTGAACAAAATATTTCTCCATGGCCTTAATCCTCTTCCGTATGTTGAGAAGTCAAGTCAAATTTATTTATAAAGCACATTTAAAACGGCAACTGTTACCAAAGTGCTTAACAATAAAATCACAGCATCAAGTAAAACAATACAAATATATAATTAAAAGCATAAAAAAACATAAAAACACAAACACAATGAGAAGCAACAAGATAATAAATCATATCATATGGTGTTAAACATCAGTGAATACAGGTGTGTTTTCATTAGAGGTTTAAAAGCAAGGGCTGAGGTGGCCTGTCTAATGATGATGGGCAGGTTGTTCCAAAGTCTAGGACCAATGACTGAAAAAGCCAGATCTCCTCTGAGCTTCAACGGGATTTTTGGTACAACCAAAAGCACCTGGTCTGATGATCTCAGTGCCCGAGAAGGTACATATGGTTGAAGTAGGTCAGAGAGGTATGAAGGTGCAAGGCCAGTAATGCACTTAAATGTCAACAGGATAATTTTAAAATAAATTCTGACATGCACAGGGAGCCAGTGATGGGAGGGCAAAACCAGTGAAACGTGCTCAAACCTGTGAGTTCCTGTTAATAGCTGAGCTGCAGTATTTTGGATGAGCTGGAGATGTGAAAGGGACACCTGACTGACACAGACATAGAGCATGTTACAGTAGTCCAGCCGGGACAAATGCATGGACTAATTTCTCAAGGTCTGGTCAGCACAGACTTGAGCTTAGCTATTTATCTGCTTAATTGGAAGAAGCTTTTTTAAGAACAGAGTTAATTTGTTTATTGACCTTAAAGTCTGAGTCTAAAACCATCCCGAGATTCGTAACAGACTGCTAAAGATAAGGCTGAAGAGAGTCAAGATTTAAGGGCTCAGTAACAGCAGTATAGAGCTAGGGCTAAACACTGACTTCAGTTTTCTGATCATTAAAAATTTGAAGCTATCCATGCCTTTGATGTCATCGAGACATTTTAACAGAGGGTGAATGGAACTGGAACTGTTGGGTTTTAAGGGCAGATAAATCTGGCAGTCATCAGCATAACAATGAAATGAAAAACCATGTTTTCTCAGGATAGATCCCAAGGGGACCAGATACAACAGAAGGGATCCAATAATGGAGCCTTGTGGAACCCCACAGGAAAAAGGCACAGAAGCAGATAAACTATTATCAACGTTAACATGAGAACTATTATGTAAACAACTATTTATTTTGAAACTCATTTTTGATTTATTTATTTTTGTTTTACTTTGACCACTTTTAATTAACTAATTAAAGAACTTTAACTAGAGGTTTCAAAGTTTCAACACTTGTGACTGCTTTAACTCGTTAAAAGGTTAAAATATCAGATTTTACACCCAAACTTTTGGCATCTCAAAACAACTCATTGCCGTAACTGTCACGTAAAATTAGCGTTCGCATTCCTATAGTTCTTGGATAAAGCATTATGAAAACGGTTAAGGCCTCACCTCCTTTCACATAAGCAAAGAGAATTGTGCACTCAGTCTGAACAAATATTTTAAAATGTTTCAAGAGCTGATTTTGTGACCTCCCATGGGGCAACAGCTTATTATTATTTTTAAAATCAGTTCTTTTACACTATGAATAGATGTTTTCTTGGGTTTGATAAGTGTTGGGTAAACTTTTAGGGCTCATAAACTCCACTTTGCTGCACACACACGTTGAAATGAGTTCCACAAGAAAAAAAAAAGCATCCACTGAAGAGTTGCCTCAGCACTGCAGCTTTAATCACTTGGAAATGTTTATTTTGCCAGGAAACATTTGAAGAGATTTTGTTGGCGTTTTTTTTTTGTGTGTGTCCATTTTGCCCAAAAGTTGCATGCGTAGCGTTCTTCCAGCGCAGAACAACATTACTCCTGTTGCGCTCGGTTTAAATGACGTGGCCTGAAGCGGTCAGGTCCTTGTGGTTGTTTGGCATAAAACAAAATACTTGTGGTGATTTCATGCTTAAGAAAACCTTTTTTTATTATTATTATTGTGAAGATTAGCAGCACAAGATGAAGTCATCAGTATAAAAAGATCCTGATCTTCATTTTACACCATAGACATTTTTATTTTGATACTTATATGATAAGCACGGCGCACATATTGCAACATTCGGCTATGATGATCAGTAATATTAAATATATTGTCTGTGATATCATCTTTTTTAAATGTTATTTAACCTTTATTTGTAGAGGCACTCTCATTGAGTCACTATAGATAGACCTGTTTTAGACAAAAAACATATAGAGTACAAATCTAAATCACATTGGACTTTTATACTTAAGATTTTGTCACTTCCTGGCATATTACGATAATTAAATTTTAAATATGTGTGTTTGATGCTGGAGAATTTGATTTCGTCAATGGTTCCTATAGGTTTTTGTGCTGCAGGTTTCATGCTTGCTTTGATTAAAATCCGACTGTAGTTGTTGACTTTTTTTAATTGATGCGGATGGATGTTTGTGACTTAACAACATTGCATTTGTTCAGTTATTTGTCCCATGAGGGAAAATCCCTGCAAATCTCGTTTTATTTTTATTTTTCAATGCTTTGCTTTTATTTCTACAGCTGGCCCTTTCTGAGTTCCATACAAAGTCTTCCAGGCTTAAACATCATTTTAAAAATTACTTATTATGCTTTCCTCAGTAAGTGCCATTAGCCACTTCTAAACCTATAATGTACATGTTTACACATTGACTTTGCATCACCTGTTAAATAGTTAGCTTTAAGAAGTGGTAATACTGATTTCTATCACTCATCTGACAAAATATGCTAGTTGCAATGAGGTAATTTAAGATTAAAAAAAGTCAACTTCTGCACCTGTTTCAATTTAAAAAAAGACAGAAGCTGAGAATATTTGTGAATGAAGGTATTTTAATGGTCCCAACTGGTCAGCTTCTTGTCTTTGCTCAGCTGTTCTCATAATCTGACAAAACTAACAGGTTTATTTAGCACATGAAGGCACCGAGGATAACGCCTAAAGAATGTTGCTCAATTTCCACAGTATGGAGGTTCTCCAATTTAGGTGATGAATAAGGCCAAAAACTGCTAATTATGTCCTCGTCCAAAACAGATATGGTTTCAGTAAAAACTGAACGTTTGATCTAATGAAGTACACCATAGACAAACAAGCTAATAGGTTCATCTCACGAAAGCAAGCTGAATTAACTTATCACGGTAAATTTAGCTTTGTTGTCTCGTTAAAGACATTCCACTCCTGATCTTGAGATAACAAAAAAAAAAATATGCTGAACAATGGACGCCGCAGCTGTTCCTGTCTGTATTTTTTCATGCTGTGCATTTTCCACATGGCAACAATTACATTGAATCAAGGAAAACTAACGTGCAATAAATAATGAAGGCATGCAAATGTTGAAAAATCTTGACCTAATTTGGCTAATTTGGTTTAACAACACGCTGATTGAGCTTTAATGTGACTGTCTCATAATACCTGGAAAGAAAAACAACAAAAATAAACAACTGTTTCCAAGAGCTGTCACTGAGGCTGAATAAAAAAATAAAAATCCACAACGTGTGATGTAACAAGCCAAACACAGAAATAGTTTCTGTGGAGCTTCTATTAATGATTTCATTCTTTTAGGCACTGACAACCATTTAGCCGTCTCTCATGCGGGACGCTCAATCAGCATCCCCAGCCCGCCGCCCTCGTCTAATCAGCGGGCAGGGATGCATTCCCCGCCACCTCGGCGAGCCGCCATCAGGGAGTTCAGTGGAACCTACGAGAGCCTGCCGGCACGCTCCGTTCAGGTAAGACGATGCCTTCACAAAAACCGAAACATCACAATCTAGCTTGGCCTCCACATTAACATCTACTGGCATTTTATCCTTTTATCGCCCACCTTTCACGGCAATCACATCCTGTCTGTTGGCAAAACATTTCCTGACAGGTTTGAACAAAACTATCAGAAAGCAATCATGGGCTTCTATAGCTGATTAACTTTTGGAGTCAACTGGATTCACGATGGTTGCTACAGCTAATGAAGCTTAGCGAACACAAAAATTGCTATAACTCTTGTCAGTTTTGCAGCTACTGAGCTAATATTTGGTGTGGTAGTGCTTGGGAGTCATTCCGAACACAGACCATGAGGGCTAAAGGATCACACAAAATCTTGGTTTAAAAGTTCAGTAAGTTTGCAATGCAGCAGTTGGTATGCATTTTTTTCAAGGAATGGCACTTTCTTTATTTATTTATTAAAATGTTTGTGTCGGCGAGCCAAAAATACACTTATTCTGTAAACTGTAAAATCCCCTTAGGTATAATTTTAGAGTTTTACTTGAATAAAACCAGCTTGACTTGATATAAATTCATCCCCAGTCTGTAAGGGTGAATATAATTTGTCAGTTCAGACCATTTGGTCACAATCTTTAAAAAAAATTAATTTTTCAACAATACTTCTTTTCATTGACACTTGTAATATCATTTTTCATGTACAGTAAAAAAAAATAAAAAAAAACAGTTACTTTGCAGTGACGTAACATAAACTTTATTTCCTTTTTATGTATTCAGCCACGGGCAGCACGGTGGCGCAACTGGTAGAGCTGCTGCCTCTCAGCAAACAGGTCCCTGGTTCAAACCCCGGTCCAGGGGCCTTTCTGGGTGGAGTTTGCATGTTCTCTCCGTGCATGTGTGGGTTTTCTCCGGGTACTCCGGTTTCCTCCCACAGACCAAAAACATGCATGTTAGGCTGATTGGTAACTCTAAATTGTCCCTAGGTGTGAGTGAGAGAGTGAATGGTTGTTTGTCTCGTTTGTCTCCATGTGGCCCTGTGATGGACTTGTGACCCGTCCAGGGTGTACCCCGCCCCTCGCACAGTGATTGCTGGACATGGGCACCAGCGACCCCCGTGACCCAAAATGGAATAAACGTGGATGGATGGATGGATGGTATTCAGCCACTTGTTTTTATTTGTATGAAAAAAGTGTAAAGCTTCGTTAGAAAAAAATCCAACCAAAAATAAAATTCATCGTGATTTTTCTTTAGTCCTTCACATCAACCACAAAGTGATCAAAGAGTCTTATAGTGCACAAGTTAAAGCCAGCGTTGTAAACAATTCAACAAAATGTACATTTACAGAAGGGGAATAAAATGCCAGCGTGCTATTAGGTATTAAAAGCCTGCCTGAATAAAATTATTTTAAGGTTGTATTTAAAAAGGCACAGGTGTTGGATCATAAAATCTGGGTGCAGAGATGAAGAGGCCCGTTCACCCCAGTGTTTGTATTTGGACCTTTGAACATGTAGCAAAAATGTATTAGTTGTCCCTAAAGTCCTCTCATGCTCACGGAAAGCTAATAAATCAGCTAAATAAGGTGATGCAAGAATGTTAAGAGCTATAATAAACAAATTAAAGTTAAAATCTTAAATGAACTGGAAGCCACTGGAAAGAGAATAAAAGGGAAACAGGTCATGCGCTCGGGTATGAAAGAGTTAGGCTGCAGCATTTTGGACCATTTGAAGACAGATAAACACTTATTGTATTAGATTTGTATAAAAAATAAACCTTGAAACAAGTTTAACATCTTTTTCTTATGAGTACATCAGCTGCGTGTAAGACATTTTTATAGGGATGCACAATATTATTGGCATGATATCGGGATCGGACGATATTAGTGATAAAGCTAAATATCGGACATCGGCCATTCCATAAAATAACTCACTTGTATAAAAGGTGCTGTGTTTTAAAATATATATTATATATTTAAATAGTGTTAAATCATTTTCAGCCCCCTTTTTGGCATCCTCATTTGGTGGCAGGCCAAATTGACAAAGACCATGCAGAATAATGTAGTGTTTTAATTCCACAGCAGAGAACACTATGTCTCTGTAAGTAGGTCTTGGAAAAAAATATCTGTATTGGTATTGGTTATCAACCAAATAAGTTTTAACATATCAGCCAAAAATCCAATATCGTGCGTCCCTACATTTCCATTGTCCAGTCAAACATCCCTCGTTTTCTTTTTTCTTTCTTACAGGTTTCCGAGTCTTGTGTGGTCGAGTGTCCCAGCATCCAGATTACCACCATCTCACCTGAAGAGGACCCCCTGACCATTCCTGAGTACTGGGACACAGGTCGTAGTGGCGGGTGGGACAGAGAACGTCTCTACCTCCCCCTGCTGGACCCCTTTACTTACCGCGAAAGATGCCCGGGGTCCCTCAGCCCGAGCCCCGCTTCCAGCCCCTCCTCCAGAGGATGGCTAAGCCCCGCCTCCAGCTGCGACTCCCTGCTGGTGGAGGAGGAGGAGCTCAACGAAGCCACTATCAATTTCGGACTCTCGCCGTCCTCGAGGCCAACTTCACCCGGCGGTAAAAAGCGTAGAAACTCTCCTCTGGCCTCTCCCTGCACCTCACGAAGAGGCAGCTATTCTGAGGAACCGCACACGTGTAACCTGGAGGGTGGAGACTCCGCCTCTCAGTCACAAGCACAGCCCAGCAGCTGCGACCTCAGCATCCCCCAGAAAACCAGGAAGACATCACTGGAGCAGGTACGAACGGTTGTGATGGCCCCAGAGGTTACTGTCTTACCCGACAAGAGACAAAGTATTAAATTGACATTATGCGTTTCAGTTGTCTCCGAGGGAAGTGGATCAGGAGCAGACACCAGGCCACACCTCTCCGTGCCCACTTCCTGACACCCAGCAGACCCGAAGAGAGCCCCCACCCCTCAGCATGGACTACCTTCCCGTGCCCCCCGCTCTGGCCTGGGGCAGAACGAGAGCTAGCGCCCACAGTCCTCTGTTCAGGCAAGAACTTATTTTTAAAGAGGGAAAACAGTTTGAAGCTTCATGTTCACAAACCAAGAGACAAAACTACAGCTTACCAGTAAAATCCCAATGTTTGAAGATAAAACTATCTTTAATGTAAAAATAGGCACGTAAATAAAACAAAGGTTGTTTGTAAAGCAGATATGATACTTGTATATATATAGAGAGAGATAGATGGATGGATAGCTGGATGGATGGATGGATGGATGGATGGATGGATGGATTGACGGAGGGGATTAAACCATATAATATGTGCCTGTTAACTCTAAATTGTCCCTAGGTGTGAGTGAGAGAGTGAATGGTTGTTTGTCTCGTTTGTCTCTATGTGTCCCTGTGATGGACTTGCGACCCGTCCAGGGTGTCCCCCGCCCCTCGCACAGTGGTTGCTGGACATGGGCACTGGCAACCCCCATGACCCAAAAATGGAACAAGCGGGTAAAGATAATGGATGGATGGATGGATGGATATGTGCCTGTTATTAGTCGTCACCAATCACTGTTGTCTGTATTTGCTGTAGATAAAACAGTCCAGTGTGTCTCCCCTCAGGTCCAACGCTCTGCCTCCACTCGACTGGCCGCTGCCGTCCCAGTTCGACCAGTACGAGCTTCGTATCGAGGTTCAGCCCCGCCCGCATCACCGAGCCCACTACGAGACGGAGGGCAGCAGAGGTGCTGTGAAAGCTGCGCTGACAGGACATCCTGTTGTCAAGGTCAGGCCCCGACCTGCGGGCTGACAAAACGTTTGCGTTTAAATCAACGCTCCTTTAAAATCTTTAGAGTTTTAATTCTCTCATTGCATTTGACGCAGAAATAATCGTTTTATGGAGGCTGCCTCCGTGTGCTGGCCGAGCAAAGTCACATGTTGTGTCTCAGTGTTGTTGGCCTCCTCACAGTTTGACTTCACCTCTCACACTGTGTCTCTGTGCAGCTGTGTGGACACACGGAGAGGAAGCCGCTCTCGCTGCAGGTTTTTGTTGGAACAGCCGACGACCGCTCCATCAGGCCACATCCGTTCTATCAGATCCACAGGTACAGACCTCCAGACTGCTTTTGTCCAGGAGGAAAACGGCTCGCCAGGCACGCTTGTAAACCTCGTTAATCGTTGTGAGACACATGCAGTCATGAGACGCATCATCTGACTGCTGTGGCTTTATGTTGAGTGTAACAAAGCAGCTCTTCTGACTGCTGCTTCATGACATTTAGATTTGGCTCAGATACAATTATTACTCTGATTCCTAAACAAATTGATGACAATTTTGAACACAAATAATACAACAAATTGAACAAAACAGTGAAATAATAAAGATAACAGTCACTACTATAGGAGTCTTGCTGCCTCCACTTGCCTGCCTGTTAAAAGCTAAAAATTGTTCCTTACTTCCTGTTTTATCGTCTCATTTATCCTTAGATTTATACACAAATACACACATACAGTATGTTAACTGTAAATAGTGTATAAAACACTGTATTAAAACTCCTGTTCCTCCTTGAGTCATATAAAGATCATATATTTAAATGAAATGTAACCTGTTTGGTCATTTTAATAATATTACTCAAATTCTGCTGGACTTTTTTTTGTCTGTGCTACTTTTGCAAAAGTCTTCAGTGATATTTCATTTAAATGGGTCCGAATTTTTTTATAATTTTCTTAAAGCGGTCTTGATCAACATTTGTTTTTTAAGGCTTTATGAATATATTTGACTGGAAGAAAAACAAAGGTTTGTCTGGAAAACTCAAAGCATGAAGCAGTGTTACAACAGGCAGCTTTGTACAAATAACTATTTTAAATGTGATCCATTGCACTCTGTTCTCTGTCACAGACATAATTACTGTAGATATTATTTTATGAAAAACACCAAATATAACACAATTTGACAAATATATAATAACATTTTATCTCCAAAAAGACGATACACAAACAACTGTTAGCTGAACCTGTCTCCCAGCTCCTGTCTGGTCTTTTATAAAAAATATTTTTCATCGTTTTAAAGACGTGATGTTCAAATACTGTTCATGTAATAGTTGTTTTATTAAGCCTGAATCGTCATCTTTCATCCATTTGTCCATTTTTCTCATAAACAAAAGAACATTACTGAAACAGATGGAAAAATTAAAGAACTGTTGATCAAGACGACTTCAAAGACTTTAAGGACGTCTGACTGCCTTTATTCTCTGAGATGAAAGAGTTTAAATGAAGTGAAACAGCTGATTGATCAGTTGGTGAACGGGAGCACTGGGCTGAGCTCGGGTCATGTGAGCTGCCTGAATGATTGGTTGTTTTGTTTTTTAAGCTGCTAACGTCTGATGTTTCTCCTCCTGCAGGGTGACTGGGAAGATGGTCGGCACGGCCAGTCACGAGAGCGTCCAGGCGGGAACCAAAGTCCTGGACATCCCCCTGAACCCGGAGAACAACATGACTGCACTGTGAGTAGGAAGGAGAAGCGTAAATGTCCAAGTGCATTTACTGCAGGTGAACATTAAGGCCTTTTAATTAAGTTTTTATTTTATTTGATCATAAATACAGTTTCTTATTCTTTGCGTTTTACCTTTTTTTAAGTGTTAAAAACTGGATCCAGGTAGTTCTTTGAGCTTGTGCAAAAACATTTAAATTTATTTAATAAAACAAATACAGTAGTCCCTTGTTTATCGCAGGGGATCTGTACCATGAAGACCCGCGATAAGTAGGAATAGTAGTACACGTAGTAAGTAGTAGTTTATTTATATATATATATATATATATATATATATATACATAGGCAATTAACCCTTCCCACGCTCTTGCAATATTCTAAACAATGTTTCTAAAGCTCTAAAAGAGCACAGAATGTCATGAACTCAGCTCTCTGCCTCTGCTGCTGTTTGCCACCTGCAAGCACTCTTGGCCACGCCCACTTCTCCACTCTGCACGGAGAACAGCTGATCAGCTGCAGGATGAAGCTTTTTCTGCAGCTCTGGGCTGCGCAAAGTTGCAGCAAGTGCTAGATACTTTAAAATAATTACTTTAAAATAAAAAAAAATCCTTGCAGACCGCGCGGCTCATCCACCAATCAGCCAATTGTGTGTCATGTGCAATCTTATTTTGAAAAACCGCGATCGAGCGAATCCACGATAAATGAACCATGAAGTAGCGAGGGACTGCTCTATCCCATTTTGCAGCACGGTGGCGCAGTTGCTAGAACTACTGCCTCTCAGCGAGCAGGTTACTCTGGTTCAAATCCTGGTCTGTGGGCCTTTCTGTGTGGAGTTTACATGTTCTCTCCGTGCATGCGTGGCTTTTCTCCGGGTACTCCAATTTCCTTCCACAGACCAAAAACATGCATGTTAGGCTGATTGGTAACTGAATTGTCTCTAAGTGTGAGTGAGAGGGTGAATGGTTGTTTGTCTCTATGTGATGGACTGGAGACCTGTCCAGGGTGTACAGTGGGCACTGGTGACCCCCGCAACCCAAAAAAGGAGGAAGCATGTAAAAGATAATGGATGGATGGATGAATCTACAGCCTTTTTCTTTGCTTAAAGTCATGAACATTTAGACCCCCCCCCCAAAAAAAAATTAAAATTAAAAATCCGTTCTTGTTTGAGTTATCAAGAATCAGAATCATTTCTGCCTTTACAATCAGACAGTGCCTCAATAAAAACTTTTTATTTTTTGTATTATTATTATTATTTTGTTATGAAGCAATCTGCTCATTTAAGGATCTGCACTTTCAGAGCGATAAATATGAAGAAAGCAAGACTTTGACTTGACTGATTTTATTTTTATATAAGTTTTGAAGCTTTTCTCCTCAAATGTGAGATTTGCAGCCCCGTCAGATTTTATGTACCGGGACTAAAACAACGGTGAAGTATCACAAACAAGCTGCTGAACTCTTTCCACCCAGATTCATATCTGCACAGTGGAGCAAAAATAAATGAATAAATAAAACTCAGCTTTCTTCAAAAATGCACGGAGCAAAAAATAAAATCGTCAATGGAATAAACCTTGTGTTTTTCAGCATCGATTGTGCCGGGATTCTGAAGCTGAGAAACTCGGACATCGAGCTGAGGAAAGGCGAAACGGACGTCGGGAGAAAAAACACGCGTGTTCGCCTCGTGTTTCGTACTCACCTCCCTCTGGCGCCCCCCATGGCGGCCCCTGGACGGGTCTTGGCCCTGCAGGTGGCCTCACTGCCCATCGAATGCTGTAAGGGGTTGTTTGAGTCGCACTTTGATAAAACAGTTGCCTGAAAAACTTTCATTTTAGAAACTCTGGTTTGAGATTGAAGTCCAAGTATTTCTTAGTTTCTTTAACGCACGTCGCCCGCAGTCTTCTTGCCAGAGTTTTAGGTTGGAATGATCTTCTGTTGAGAAATGACAGAGTTGTAGCAGTTTTGGTTGAAAAACTGGCTGAGTTGTAGCCATTTTTATGTTTCCGAAGGTCAGTTGTCTGTGGCAGCCATCTTGAATTTGATCAACTCTAAAAGTTAATCGATTGTAAAATGATTACGCTCTGAGATCTTCATTTAAATCTGCCCTGTGTTTAATGAGCTGTTTTGCTAACAGACAGACACTATTCACTCCAATAGTTAATGGTGAGGGTTTAAAAACAAATCTGATGATTAGTGCTTGGAGTTTGTCTTATGAGTGACTCTCACCCACTTCCACAACAAATTTTAGTTTATCTTTAACACTGGCTTTGTTAAAAACATTTTTGTGTTTGCTAAAGTCGCTTAGCTGTGGCGGCCGTCTTGAATGGTGTTGACTCCAAACTGAATCAGTTGTAGATGCACATGGAGCAATTACACTTCAAGAGCTTAACAGAAATACCTTCAGTGGTTAATGAGATGTTTTGCTAACATGCAGACTGAAACAATATCGAGCGTTATTGTAACAGACCATAGAGCTCAGTGTGTGATGATACTGAGTGTTATTGTAACAGTCTGTAGAGCTCAGTGTGTGATGATACTGAGTGTTATTGTAACAGACTGTAGAGCTCATTGTGTGATGATACTGAGTGTTATTGTAACAGTCTGTAGAGCTCAGTG